TAGAAAATACTATTGAGTCTGCAGTTGTTACTAAGTATATCTAATTGAAGTCCAACTGAAGGTGAAAAACCACCATTATCGCCTTCTTTTTTACCTGAAGAATTACAGTTGCTTCTCCAGACAACAGTTGAACAACAAGCTCTCTATGACTCACCAGTTCAAATAATTTGACAAATAAACGTTCATGAACCTAAAGTAACTATAAATACACCACCTAGAGTTGGCAGCATCAGTATCTATTGAAAAATTTCACGATGATCGTCTACAAGTGCACAAGCTACTAATGATTTTATCGTCTTTACTTCGGAGACAGTAGGTTAGGTTAGGTCTAAAGTGAAGATGTGAGCCACAATAAACCCTTGCGGGTTTATTGTGGCTCATCTATTCACACTCGACCAAATAAACCCAGCTTTTCAACGAAGCCGATTAGTTTGTATGGTGAGTGGTCTTTCAGGTCAGATGGTAAAAGTACGGCTCTGCCGAACTCTAAAAACCAGATTCGGTCCCCAGTGGGGCAGGCACAAAGTATATTCTCTTGTGTTATTCATTTTCCAAACAGTTCATCCCTACTGTAGTCCAACAACTGTTTGGTATCAAGCTTCGAAGGGTGAATAAACGCCTTGGAGTGAGCCAATTCTGGAAGATTCTGCCAGAAGTCCATAAATCTTGTTGCCATCCAGGTTTGGCAAAGCCTAAAGCGATGCCAACGACAGGTTCTGGTCCGATGAAGCTGCTTGCAGCACCCTCCTTTGCAAGGGAGTCAGCAGCCTCATCGCCTTCCAGGTCAGTATGGCCAGGAATCCAGACCAGAGACAATCTGCTAAGTCTTCCTATCGAGGAGAGTCGTTTTTGGCAATTTGCTACCAATTTAAACGTTTCTCGGTAGGAGCCAAGAGCTTCCAACGCCGCATGACTGTCCGAGAAATTTTTTATTGACTTGTGTATGAGGTTGGATTCTTTCAATCTCTCTGCACACAATTTAACAGCGTAAATTTCCGCATGAAATACAGTAGTATAGATTCCTAGGTAGGTACCGGAGACAATAAGGCCATTACCAAAAGCACCCCCAAGGAAATTCAATAAAAAGAGAAAAACTGGAAAATCAATTATCTATACCTACTGATACACCAGAGCATGAAGCAAAATTAAAACGGACCAAACTTTAGCAAGTTAAGAAAAGATTAGACGGAACAGAAGGTGAGACAAAAATTTTGAACAGAATAAAAAAATACTGTATTGTTTGCTTAGCATCATATTCAGAGAGCAGATCCGGAGAAAAGTGGATTCAATGTACTTCGTTCAAATAGTGGGCTCACGAAGAATGCACAGAAGGTAGTCTCAGAACTTATTAACATTTTTTTTTGTAATTCCTTTAAATGTTTACTATTCGTCAAAGGCTGATGAAAATTTTAGAAGTATTAAAATCTTGAAAACTGATTGATGTTGTCATGTGGTGCCATAATAGGCTTGTTTCATGCTATGGAAAATGATACTGGTTTGCTTATAGATTGATCGAGTTAGGGGTATATTATACTTATCAAGCCTAATCGGTCCCAATATCTCTTTATATTTGCAGAAAAAAGAGTAATTCGAAAAGCAAGAATTTAAATTGGTCGCGTGTCTGTTGACCAATAAAATTGATCGTGTCTAGAGCGGAGTTGCCAAGTGTATTGGTTTTTAATATCCAATCACAGATCTGATGATCCAATTTGACAGACGCCATTTTTGTTGTTAT